AAAAAAAAAAAAAAAAAAAAAAAAAAAAAAACAAAGAAATGCAGAATGTCAGGTCTACCCAGATTTACTGAATTAGAATCTGCATTTTTTTTTTTTTTGAGACGGAGTTTCGCTCTTGTTACCCAGGCTGGAGTGCAATGGCGCGATCTCGGCTCACCGCAACCTCCGCCTCCTGGGTTCAGGCAATTCTCCTGCCTCAGCCTCCTGAGCAGCTGGGACTACAGGCACGTGCCACCATGCCCAGCTGATTTTTTGTATTTTTAGTAGAGACGGGGTTTCACCATGTTGACCAGGATGGTCTCGATCTCTTGACCTCGTGATCCACCCGCCTCGGCCTCCCAAAGTGCTGGGATTGCAGGCGTGAGCCACCGCGCCCGGCCTAGAATCTGCATTTTAACAAAATCCCCAGTTGCTGTGAATGCTCATTCATGTCTGAGAAGCACTGTGCTAAAGAAACTCTTCAACATGCACCAGCAGAGATGATCAAGAACATTCATAATAGCACTGATGGTAATAGCAAAGAACTAGAAACAACACAAATATCCACTTAGTTGAGAATGGATAAATAAATCCTGGTATTGTCAGAAAAGCTAGTTGCTGAAAGATACATACAGTTCGATACCATTTTTATAAGACTCAAACAAGCAAAAGTAAATAGTATGTTATTATGCATCATCCATATATGTATATGTGGTAAATTCTAAAGGAAACAAAGGAATGATAAATACAATTCAAGATAATGCTTATGGAGGGGAGAGGTAAAGGAAGGAGCAGACAGTGATCTTCACTAACACAGGAAAGATTTATTTCTTTTTTTATTTTTTAGATTTGTTTTTTAGTTTAAAATGCATTTTATTTTCAGACAACCTACATGATATGTTTTTTAATAGTTTCTATTTCTTAAAGTTGAGTGGTAGGATCAAGGGTTTTTGTTATATTATTTTGTGACTTATGTATTTGTTTTTATTCAAATGTTCATTATTCTCCCATATAACACACTTTTAACCACTTTATTATGGTATGCTTTACATACCATAAAATTCACCTGTCTTAAGTGTATAATTCAAAAACTTTTAGTAAATGTACAGAATTATATAATCATTGCCACAAACTGGTAAGAGGAAATTTTTATCACCACAAAAAAAAAAAATCTCTCTTGCCTCTGCAATCACTACCGCTTCCACCCCTAACCCCAGGCTAATTTGTTTTCTAATTAATGCTAATCTTATTAATTAATAATATTAATATAATCTTATATAACTAATATAACTAAAACGAATCTGTTTTTCATCTCTATAAATCATCATTTTCTGGACATTTAATTTAAATGGAATCATGTAACATGAGACCTTTTGTGCCTCTATTCTTTTACTTAGCATAATTTTTTGATGTTCATCCATGTCATAGCAAGTATCAGTTCCTCAGTCATTTTTAAGATGAATAATATTTCCGTATATGGATGTACCACATTTTGTTTATTCACCTGTTAATGGACATCTAGGCTGATTCTAGATTTTGGCTATTATGCTGTTATGATTATTCCTATACAAGTCTTTGTGTGAACACTATTGTCATTTCTCTTAGGTAGCTATCCAGGAGTGGAATTGGTGGGTCATAACTGGTCATTTTTAAATTTAAATAAAGAGAAGAAATGGGGTCTTTGTTTCTTTCAAACTCGAATAAAAGAATTAACTAGTGAATAGATGGTGTATTTCTTTCCAGATGCTGGAATGAAATATCACACTTAATATAGAAGCAAGAATCCATTTAGATAAAAAGTCAGTAATGGAACATAAACTAGTTACCTTCTGAGGAGCAGGTACAGTTAAAAAGGAAATGAAGAGGAAGAAAGTTGTACAGCAGCACCTTGGAAGGAAGATGATTCATTTCAAAGGTACAACTGATACTGGTTTTTATACAAACACATGCTTGTGGGATTATCAATCAAATAATAATGTCTATAAACATTTTTAAGGAAATATAAAAAGTTGAAATTCTTTTGAGTTCAGATTTTCTGATAAAGATAACTATTTAGGCCAGGCCTAGTGGCTCATACCTGTAATGCTAGGACTTTGGGAGGCTGAAATGGGACAATCGCCGTTTGAGACCAGGACTTTCAGACGAGCCGGGGCAACACAGACAGATCCCATTTTGAACTCCTGAGCCCAAGCTATTCGACTGCCTCAGCCTCCCCAAGTGTTGGAATTATGGGCATGTCCCACCACGCCTGGCCCAAGAGACCCTACCAAACAAATAAAAAAGATAGTAAGATTTATTGTTTGCAGTGATTTTGTGTGTGTAGGTGTGTAATACATAAAATGGCTGGCAAATGAGGGGGGAAAGTTTTTGGGTCACATTAAACAATGAAGTTGGGAAATATCTGAGATTTTGTTTCATAACCACTAATCTTCAATGTTGAGGATTTAAAATGTATTTGTTCCATTTTTTTTTTCTCTGTAATTCCTTAGACATTTGTGAAGATTTTCATTCCCACATAAGAAGCAATAACAGACTAATGTCATTCTGGTCATTTCCAGAAACTGGTTTCCTAGTTGTTGCCTGTTTTCTTTACCAGTTCCACTTGATCTGAATTTGACATTTCTCCAAGAGACAAGTAAATCAAGATCATATGTCTGTGACATGTATCGCATATGCTAGTTAGCTGCATCTGACAACCGTCTGTAAAAAGAAAGATGATGATATGTTTATTTTAGACATTAGGTAATGTCTAATTTTTCATGAAAATCAATTTTCATGAAAGAAAATTGATTAGCCAATTTTGGTAATCAAAAACACTAAAAGGATGTAAAAAAAGTGCAAGTCATTGGGAAGTACTGCTATATGTGTTGTATTTGACCGGAGCATAGAAAGTTATCACAAGACAAAAGTATGCCAGGTTGCAGGGTCATTTATTTATGCCGGCGACCACAGAGGACTCACGTCTCTCCAACCTGTGGTGGCAACAGGAGGGTGCCACGATTTTTTATACCCGAAAAACCACCTTGGGAGTGGGGGTGAGGGGCGGGGATGGGGATGAAAAGGCTTCAGACATTCCGAGGGCTAGTGGATTCTGTAAACTACCTCCTGGGCAGAGATGAGGGTGGGGGTCTCCGGACATTCCAAGGGATGGGGACTTTTGTCATTCCGTTTGTTACTTAAGTGGTTTACAGAAGTCAAGATAAACATTTGTTTACACATTATCTGGTTAAGGTGGAAATCACAGACCTTAGTTACTTATTACAAGCCACAGGAGCCAGGATAGAACTAGCTTGGGCTGCTTAGTCTGGCAATTGCTGGTAAGCAAAGGCTAGCAATTCTGGCAGTTACTGATAAGAAAAGGTAAGCAGCTTTACATAGTTTTGAAGAACAAACAGCAGTTCTATTTACAGAGGCCAAGGACAGTAGTTATTGTAAGGAGAATGGGGCAGCCATTTCAACTTATCTAAAAACAGTTTTGCATTTTATAAAATAGTTTTGCTCCGGTTCTGGCTCTAGGCCAGCACAATATCACATATGGGCCTGTGAAACAACTAGCGGTACAGAGCCTTGCTACAAAGTATAGAAGTGTTCTATTTTGTCTACGGGAGGCGGTTGCACTACAAGACGAAGAAAGGGAAATGTTTTTCTTTTTTTTTTTTTTTTTTTTTTTTTTTTTTGAGACGGAGTTTCACTCATGCTACCCAGGCTGGAGTGCAATGGCACGATCTCGGCTCACCGCAACCTCCGCCTCTTGGGTTCAGGCAATTCTTCTGCCTCAGCCTCCTAAGTAGCTGGGATTACAGGCACGCGCCACCATGCCCAGCTAATGTTTTGTATTTTTAGTAGAGACGGGGTTTCACCATGTTAACCAGGATGGTCTCGATCTCTTGACCTTGTGATCCACCCGCCTCGGCCTCCCAAAGTGCTGGGATTACAGGCTTGAGCCACCGCGCCCGGCAGGGAAATGTTTTTCTACTCATCCCTCAGGTCCTACTTCAACATAACTTTCTTCAGATAAGTGCCCTTCCTTTGTGTTTCCTTAATACTCTCTATTTCCCCCGTTATAGAAACTAAAACGACTATCTTCCGTGCATCTGTATTTACATAGCAGTGTCTTGCCTGACTTTGTCCCCTCAAGTTAAATTTGGGCTGCCCTCTGCCCCGCCCCTGTCCCTCAAGCTCTTTTCCCTCCCCGGGTCCCAGACCCTAGGGTTTAGCTCAGACCCGCCCCGCTCCCTGGTTGGCTGTTGGGTGGGAGGTTCGTTTCTTCCCTCCCTATTGGCCGCCCAGGGGGCGGTGCGTTTCCCATCTCCTGATAGGCCGTCCGGCGAGGCGTCTCTTGGGTCTGCGGCGCAGTTATCATTTCCGGGGTAAGATGGCTGCAGTCCGTCTGCTGAGAACGTGGAGCAGGAATGCGGGGCAGCTGGTAAGCAGGTTTGGGCAGATCTGAGGCCGGGAAGGAGTGATTTGTCCGGAATCATCCAGGAGTGGTGTGTTACTTTCTCCTCCGGTGCCAGGCGGCCAGGGGACGCGTGATGGAGAGGCGAAGGGATGCATGCAAAATAAAGAGCAGAGAACGGAGTGATTCGACCAGTCTGGAGTGGAAAACCACTCCCTCCTCTTACCTAGACGCGCTTCTGCAGCGACTCAGCCGTCCTCCTGCTCCAGCTATACCCCGAGGCCCAGCTGGCGTTTCATTGGGCGCCTTCCAGATACCAGGCATTGTGATAGGTGCTGTGGATCCATAGATATATTCGTTCAGCATTTATTGCATATCCACAGTATGCCAAACACTGCAACACAACCCCTACCATCACGAAATTTACAATGTAGAGGCCGTGGAGGTTACAGAATATCATCAGGGGTCCCTGCTTCCAAATAACTGAGCAGCTCAGGCGTCACTCATTTGGCTTGTACTTCTACGTCCGCACCATATATCATTCCTACACTTTTGTCACCAAGGCTATGACCCACCAGCATCTCCCCTGCACTTCCCTCTCTTTCTCCCAGTCTTAGCACCAAGCACTGAGGCGTCCCGGTAATTATACTGTTTCACCTTGTTTGCGGAGTGTTTCTTCTCCCTGCCTTGGTGGACCCCTGATCTTAAAAAAACTTCCAAGGGCCTGCCATGTACCAGGTACTGTGTTAGGCACTGGAGATACAAATATGAAATAGACATCATTCCTTCCTTCTCAAGAGATTACAATCTTGTGGCGGAAGACAAAGGAGACAGAGACAGATACTAAGAAATTACAACCCAGCATGAGAAGTGCCGTTATGGGACAAGTGCCTATAGCTACAGGAATACACAGGAGTGGACACCTATGGTGGACTTGGGGGTCAGAGAGGAGTTCCCAGAGGATACTGTATGACTTCAGATGTAAGAAGGATAAGTAAGAGATAACAAGGAGAAGAGAGCTCTTCTGAGCAACACTTAACACTTCTTGGTCTCTCTTTCTAGAGCTTTCCATTCTTGTTTTCTGTGACACCAGTTCCCCAATATTATTCTTTCTACATCTTTGACCGCTTCGTCCCAATATCCTCTTTCCCTATCCACCTTTTAAATATTGCTGTTTCTAAAGGGCTCTGACTTTTGCCCTCTGCACTTTTCCCACTTTCTGGGTTATCCCATCCACTCTTTGGATACAGTTATCATCTATGCTGATGAGTCTTAAAGTTCCCCAGTCTTCCAATCACGTGTACTCCAAACCCATATATATCCTACTATCCTGGAAATCTCCAGTTTCATATGGGTGTGATATTTTCCAGCTGTAGTTAATAAAAACCCAACCAATAAATAGGAAATTAAGTATCCATGCATACAGAGCATCTCCAAATTAGATGTCAGCTCGCATTGATTAAGTGGTTTATCATTATCAATGCTGTCATTTCCCTAGTAGTTAATTTGTCCTTTTCCTGCTAGTTACAAGAGGGCTGCTGCACTTCTTATTTTATGTTTAAGGCAGGAAGGAGGAAGAAGAGAAGGTTCCAGTTTTACTGGCCAGAACTGTGTTACATGGCCACCGCTAGCACAAGGGAACTTAGAAAAAACTTGTCTCTCTCTTTTTTTTTTTTTTGAGGCAGAGTCTCGCTCTGTCACCCAGGTTGGAGTGCAGTGCCCTGATCTTGGTTCACTGCAACCTCCATCTCCCAGGTTCAAGCGATTATCCTGCCTTTGCCTCCCAAGTAGCTGGGACTACAGGTGTGCATCACCATGCCCGGCTACTTTTTGTATTTTCAGTAAAGACAGGGTTTCACCATGTTGGCCAGGCTGGTCTCGAACTCCTGACCTCAGGTGATCCGCCCACCTCGGCCTCCCAAAGTGTTGGGATTGCAGCGTGAGCCACCACACCCAGCAAAAAAGCTTTCTTTGGTCTTCTCACAGTGTCTGCCATATGGCTTCAAAGCAGGTCAGACTCTTCAGGTTCCAGAACTGAACCCTCAAACCAGTTTCTCTTTATTTTATTTATTTATTTATTTTTTGAGATAGAGTCTTTCTCTGTTGCCCAAGCTGGAGTCCAGTGGCACAATCTCGGCTCACTGCAACCTCCGCCTTCCAGGTAGCTGGGACTACAGGTGCACTCCACCATGCCCAGCTAATTTTTGCATGTTTAGTAGAGATGGGATTTTGCCATGTTGACCAGGCTGGTCTCGAGTTCCTGATTTCAAGTTATCCGCCTCGCTTGGCCTCCCAAAGTGCTGGGATGACAGGCATTAGCCACTGGTCCTGGCCCAGTTTCTCTTGATTTGAATCTATAATTCTCTCTGAAGAAATCTAGTCACTATATTTCCACCTTGCCCTCACCTAGAGGTGTCTTGGTCCTTCCTAACTGGATTATCTGCCTCCAGTGGTCTTGTTTTTCTAACCCATTCTCCATAGTGTAGCCAGAGTGATCTTGTAAAGTAAGAGACATTTGATAATGTTATTTTCTTGCTTAAAACTGCCTTCAGCAAGATGTCCAAAATTCAAATGACTGTGAGGCTATTTATGATCTGGGCCTTTCCAGTCTTTCTGGCTTGATTACTTACCAAAACCTACCCATCCCAACCCCAACTCTGACTCCTCCCCATGCTTATTCCACACTAAACTACACTAGAACTCTGTTGAACAACTTGAATTAATTGAACACACACACTGTGCTTTCTGTCTTAACTCCTGACCTTTGCACAGTGATTTCTTCTGCTTTAAAGACTCTTGCCTTACTTCCCTATGACCTTATCTGCAACACATCTCATCCCCTGGGTCACTCCTACTCATCCCTCAGATCTTACTTCAACATAACTTTGTCCAGCTAGCTTCCCTTAACACACTCTATTTTTCATTATAGCACGTGTTATAATCACCTGTTTACCCCTTTTATTACCTTTCACTGGACTGTGCTTTCTATAAGGGAAGGAATTGCATCTATTTTGTTCTCTGTATAACTCCAAATGCCTGGCATATTGTAGGTGCTCATAAATATTTTTTAAATGACTCAGTAAAAACAAAAAACTCAGTTTAGAATTTTTATAAAAAGTAAGCAAAAACAGAACAAGACTACATCTCAAAAAAAAAAAAAAAAAAAAAGACAGGGTCTTGCTTTTTTGTCCAGGATGGTCTTAAACTCCTGGGCTCAAGTGATCCTCCTGTCTCAGTCTCCCAAAATGCTGGGATTACAAGTGTGAGCCACCCCCCACCCCCCAGCTAGACTAGTAAACTAAGTATAAGGCTTTAAACTACCAATTTTAAAAATACATGCCTATATAATTACTAGTTTTATGTAATTTGTATTTGAAGCAATTGTAAATTCATCTATGAACAATACTAAAGACACCTAATTCTATGGAGACCATCTGAACCAATTTGCCTGAGGTGACACCCCAACTCACCCCTAGTGATTCAAGGCAATTATTAATAACCCTATTTTCATTCTCAAATACATCCTGGTTGAACGACTACACATGTAGCCTAACTCTTAACACAATTATTTGACTAAAATAGGTCTTTCTTTGATTTTAAAAAGTAATTCAGCCGGATGCAGTGGCTCATGCCCGTAATCCCAACATTTTGGGAGGCCAAAACGGAAGTTCTTATACTGACATTACCGTCATCAACCATTTTCTCCTCGAGCTATTTAGTGTTCCCTTTTATATCTTTTTTCAAGTCAAATCAAGCTGCTCAACGTTCCAGCAGATATGCTGAGTAAACTTCTGCTATAGTTTATTTACGCTGCCCTTAAAGTGCCCTTCTGCTTTTTTACTATGTATGCTTATTATACATAGTGCAGCTTAAATCTTCCTCCAAGAAGCCTTCCCAGGTCACACTAACATGAAAAAGCACCCACCAGACCCCTCTAAACTCCATTTTTTTTTTTTTCCTAAGACAAAGTTTTGCTCTGTTGCCCAGGCTGGAGTGCAATGGGATTAGAGCATGAGCCACTGTGCCTGCCCTACTTAAACTCCTTTATCACTTACTGCCTATGCCTCTTTTTTTTTTTTTTTTTTTTTTTTTGTGAACCTATGGATTATACCGAAGAAGCCCATGCCTTTTATTACAAAAAGTTAGAGCATGCACGTCCATGCTTGAGTGTGTTTGTGTGTGTGTGTGTTTATTTTCTCACATAGGTTGTAAACTCTTTGAAATTAGGGATTATTTCTTCTACCTCTAGGGTCTTTGACATCAGATTTGCTTGGCTTCAGAGCTCGATTGTCACACTTATTTGCTGTGTGACCTTGGACAAATTACTTCACCTTTCCCATCAGTTTCCTGTGTGTGGAAGAGGGCTAACATGTATGTTCCATAGGGAAATTGTAAGATATAAAGATGACATCTGGGCTAAGCACCTTGGCTCACGCCTATAATCCCAGCACTTTGGGAGACTGAGGTGAGTGGATTGCTTGAGGTCAAGAGTTTGAAACCAGCCTGGCCAACATGGTGAGACCCCCTGCTCTACTAAAAATACAAAAATTAGCTGGACATGGTGGCGCATACCTGTAGTCCCAGTTACTCGGGAGGCAGAGGCATGAGAATCGCTTGAACCTGGGGCGCAGAGTAAGCTGAGATGGTGCCACTGCACTGCAGCCTGGATGACAGAGCGAAACTCCATCTCAAAAAAAAAGATGATGTCTCAGATGGAGACATCATCTGAGATGGAGTTTCGCTCTGTTGCCCAGGCTGGAGTGCAGTGGTGTGATCTTGGCTCGCTGCAACTTCTGCCTCCTAGGTTCAAGCAATTCTGGTGCCTCAGCCTCCCGAGTAGCTGGGACTACAGGTGTATGCCACCACGTTCAGCTAATTTGTATATTTTTAGTAGAGAAGGGGTCTCGCCATGTTGGCCAGGCTAGTCTCAAACTCGTGACCTCAAGCGATCCACTCACCTCAGTCTCCCAAAGTGCTGGGATTACAGGTGAGAGCCACCTGGCCCGGCCTGTCTGAAAAGACTTTTAAAGTACTCAGCACATAGGAGGCACTCAATAAATGTTATGTTTGGTGGTTTGTGCTGCCCTGACCCATAAATAGTTCAATAGGAGTTGTGTCGTTGTTGAAGTTAAGACTGTCTAGTAGTTTAATTTCCTTTCACAGATTTTAAAAATATGAACAATTTTATTTAAATCAAAGTGAATCTATGTACTTAGAAACTTTCCTTACTGTCCCTAAATTTTATGTCTGATGAGACAGGTTGATTTACTCCTTTGATTTTATTGCTGACCAAGAGTCAGGATTATGGGAACTGAAGGAGAAAGGAAGGACAAACAAAATAGAAATGTTTGGGAAAGAGAATTCTTTCCTTAAAGAATTTAATGAAAACCATCATTAAAACTGCTGGTTTTAAGCTTTCAATTTTAATTATTTTAGTTAGGCTTTATATTTCCTGAATTGTTAATGTTAATAAGAATAAAATATAGATATTATAAAGATTAGTTGATTTAAGGTGATCTTTAAAGTTAAAATGAATGATTTAAGATTATTCACGTTTTAGGAAAGGGATCTTCAGTTTTTCTTTGCCTTCAGAAATCAGTAATAACTTGGAAATTAAAGTAAATAAGAATTTAAATGTATTGTTCTTGTCAGTAAACCAAACTTTTAATTTTATATTATTTGCTATCAGAAAAAAAACAAAACTCTAGCTTATAAATATGTATTAAAATATGACCATAATATATAATGTTTATTATAACATAGCCTTTAAAATTTAAGAGCTAATTACCACTAATATACATGATTTTTTTTTTAAAGTAAAAGTGACTCTGCTACATACATGAAAAAGTTTTACTTATCGATATTCCTACTAAGAAGGATAGAAATTTGTACGTAGAGAAGTAAGCTCAGGGCTTTAAAATTAAATAAGTAAATAAATAAATTTCTGTAGTTTGTATTTACAGTGTGACATAGGTAAGTATTAATAGCATTGAAATATTAACTTTCAAAATAAAATATTATGGCCTGGTGTGGTGGCTCACACCTGTAATTCTAGCACTTTGGGAGGCTGAGGCAGGAGGATTGCTTGAGCTCAGGAGCTCAAGTCCAGCCTGGGAAACATAGAGTCCAGCCTGAGAAGCATAGTGAGTCCAGCCTGGGAAACATAGTGAGACGTTGTCTCTACAAATAAACAAAATTAAGTGGATCTGGTGGCATATGCCTGTGGTCCCAGATACTCAGAAGGCTGAGGTGGGAGGATTCCTTGAGCCTGGAAGGTCAATGCTTCATTGGGTTCTGGTTGCACCACTGCACTCCAGCCTGGGCAACAGAGTAAGACCCTGTCTCAAATATACACACAAATATACACATACACAATACCTTTCAGACACTTAGGTTTTGATATATAAAGTTGAATACATTTGGGCCTATTTATGTATTTATTTATTTATTTTTCTTTTGAGACAGAGTCTTGCTCTGTCGCCAGGCTGGGGTGCAGTGGTGTGATCTCGGCTCACCGCAACCTCTGCCTCCCAGGTTCAAGTGATTCCCCTGCCTCAGCCTCCTGAGTAGGTGGGACTACAGGTGCGTGCCCCCATGCCCAGCTAATTTTTTGTATTTTAGTAGAGATGGGGTTTCACTACGTTGGCCAGGATGGTCTTGATCTCTTGACCTCGTGATCCTCCCACCTCGGCTGGTATTACAGGTGTGAGCCACCGCGCCCAACCTACTTATTTCTATAATAGATTTTTAAATAATATTATACAAAGGTATTATATAAAATAGTTAATTCTAAAGAGTCATCTATAAGTTATTATAAGTAAATTTTGGGGTATCATACTATACAAATTTTTCATTGTTTTTAGAAACTATTACTTTAGAATTCTTTAGTAGTTTTAGTTGAGGAAGTCCAGTGACTTAAGCATACCTATAAGATTATATATTTATACAGATTACACTGTTAAAATGTCTTTACTTTCAGAAGGAATTTTGGGCAAGGATCATAAATATAACAAATATAAATCTAAGGATATAATATATCTATTGTGATAATGGCTCTACTTTTAGAATAGAATTGAAATTCAATTTATACTTAGAGATAAGCCATTGAGATTGTTTATAAATGCTTTTACTTTTTGTTTTCTCATCTGTAGATTTGTGTTCGCTATTTTCAAACATGTAGTCATGTTCATGTTTTGAAGCCAAATTATGTGTGTTTCTTCGGTTATCCTTCATTCAAGTATGGTCATCCACATCACTTCCTGAAAACAACTGCTGGTAAGTATGATTTCAGAATAACATGTATAAAATAATGCTTTGTATCTCATTCAGTAATATTTTTTAGTAGTTCATTGAAGACCTCCTAAATTAAACCGAAAGTTGACTCTCTATTTCTAGCCAGACCGTCTCTATCTCCCCACATTTTCTTTTTTCTTGCCGTTTTTTTTTTTTGTTGTTTTTTTTTTTACATGGTTTCCTTAATACTGGCACCTCTTTTTAAAAAAATTGTTTTACAGACAGGATCACACTCTGTCGCCCAGGTTGGAGTTTAGTGGTGCAACCACAGCTCACTATAACCTGAATTCCCGGGCTCAAGCTCAAAGAACTGGGATTATAGATGTGAGCTATCTGGCCCAGCACTTGTGTATTTATAAAGTTGGGCATGGGTTGTGTTGCACCATCTATTATCATCTGGCTCATCTAAGGGCAACAGTCAGCATTGATATGACTTTCTCAATCAAGGTAATTGTTAATTTATCTTTGTATTGTTATACACATTGTGGTATTTGTTGAATCACGCACTTAATCTCTCATGTGAATATGATGTGATGAAATCAGCCTGATTTAGTCCTAAATACAAAGTTCCCTGGCTTTTACCACATAAAGAACTTGAAGGATTAAGGACTAGATTTGGCAAGGGCATGAGAACTGTTATTTTTCCCTGATGTTCTATTTAGAACCATGATAAAGAATCCTAGAATTTTGTTACACCATTACATTTTTGACAGATACATGGGGGCTTAGTTTGTGCTGGCAATGAAAAATGGGGGAATTCCAGGCAGACCCCAAGTCACTCCTTCCATGCTGTTTTTTTTTTGAGACAGGATCTCGCTCTGTGCAGTAGCACAATCATAGCTCACTGTAACCTCAGACTCATGGGCTCAAATGATCCTCCTACCTAAACCTTCTGAGTAGGTGGGACTACAGGTGTGTACCACCACACTTGGCTAATTTATTTATTTATTTATTTATTTAATTTATTTATTGAGACGGAGTTTCGCTCTTGTTACCCAGGCTGGAGTGCGATGACGCGATTTCGGCTCACCGCAATCTCCGCCTCCTGGGTTCAAGCAATTCTCCTGCCTCAGCCTCTCGAGTAGCTGGGACTACAGGCACATGCCACCATGCCCAGCTAATTTTTGTATTTTTTGTAGAGACGGGGTTTCACCACATTGACCAGGATGGTCTCGATCTCTTGACCTCGTGATCCACCCACCTCGGCCTCCCAAAGTGCTGGGATTATAGGTGTGAGCCACCGCGCCCAGCCTGGCTAATTTATTTATTTATCGGGATGTTATCACATTGCCCAGGCTGGTCTAGAACTCCTGGACTCAAGAGATCCTCCAACCTCTGTCTCTATGTTTTGCTCTTTCTTTTCTTTTCTTTTTGTTCCCTCCCTCCCTCCCTTCCTTGCTTCCTTCTTTTCTGTCTCTATCTCTTGTTCTCTCTCTATGTCTCTCTCTCCCAATCTGGAATGCAGTGAAGCGATCTCGGCTCACTGCAACCTCTTTTTGTCAAGCTCAAGCAATTCTCCTGCCTCAGCCTCCCAAGTAGCTGGGATTACAGGTGCCCACCACCAAGCCTGGCCCTGGCTAATTTTTATATAGTGAAGACAGGGTTTCACCATGTTGGTCAGGCTGGCCTCAAACTCCTGACCTCAAGTGATCCACCTGCCCTGGCCTCTCAAAGTGATGGGATTTCAGGGATTGCAGGAAGATGGTACATGGCCATTTTCCATGGTTTTTCTATGTCATTCTCCACTAGGATATGTAAACTTTACCTTCTTTACTTTTGAAAAATTTTTTTAAAGTTGATTTTTTTTTTTTTTTGTTACTTCCCAGAGAAAACAGAGGTCATTCAAGTAGATACTGCAACTTCTTGGTCCAGTCTGTAAACACTTATTATGAGCTTTGAGTTCCTGGATACACCAGTTCCAGGCTACTTGGATTCCTGGTCTACAAATTACTAGCTATGTGACTTTGAGCAAGTTTCATCATCTGGGAAATGGGGGTAATCATAGTATTTAACTAATGGTATTCTCGTGAGAATTCATTCAACAATTAATATTTATTGATCACCTTCCCTGTTCCAAGGCACTGTTGTAGGTGCTTGGGATTTATCAGTACACAAAATAAAGATCCTTATACTTGGGTGGATTAAACACATTAGAATATGTAAAGTATTTAGTGCCTGCTTTCTCTGGACACTTAATAAGGTTTCTCTTCTTCTGCTTCTCTTTTAAACTTCAGATTTTCATAGGATCCCATCCTTTGCCCTCTCTTCTTGTACCACATCTACACACATGCCTTCATCTCTCACCTCATTGAACACTTCTGAATCTGTAGTTGTAGCTCAGATCTTTCACCAACTACTAATAAAACATCTCCATTCCAGTGTCCCCAAAAATCAGTCTTCTACAAATCTCTTTTCCTTCTGATATTTCCTAGCTCAGTAAATAATTAAGCTAGACTAGCCTAGCCTAACTATTGATGTGAGACCCTGTCTCTACAAAAAATTTTTAAAAGTCTGCTGAGCATGGTGGTCCACAACTGTAGTCCCAGCTACTTGGGAGTGTGATATAGGAGGATCACTCCCGCCCTGGAGGCTGAGGCTACAGTGAGCCATGACCATGCCACTGCCCTCTAGCCAGCCCAACAGAATGAGACCCTGTCTCACAAAAAAAAAAAAAAAAAAAAAAAAAGGAAAGAAAGTTAAGCTAGAAACCTAAAGTTATCCTTACTCTAGTCTCATATCAAATTGATTATCAAAACCTATTAATTTTACGTCTTACATATTTCTTAAATCCATCATCTTTTCAGACAGCTTTGAAAAGTATATAAATATATAAATCACATACTTGTGTGCTGGGCAGAATGGCTCACACTTGTAATCCCAGTACTTTGGGAAGCTGAGGCAGGAGGCTTGCTTGAGGCCAGGAGTTCAAGAGCAGCCTTGGCAACAAAAAAGTGAGACCTCATCTCTACAAAAATTTTTTTTTAATTACCTGGGCATGGTGGTGTGCACTTGTAGTCAGTTGCTAGTCCTAGCTGAGGTGGGAGGATCACTTGAGCCCAGGAACTTGAAGTTATCATGAGCTGATTGTTCCACTGTACTCTGGCTTGGGCAACAGAGTGAAACCCTGACTGTAAAAAAAAAAATACATTAATAAATTACATACTTCTGCTTCTTACCTGAGGTAGCCTCCTGTTTCCCCTGCCTTGTTTTGCTTCTGCCACCCACTCCCTAACCCCATCTACCACACTCCTGCCAGAGGGATTTTTTTTCTAAAATTATAGACCTAAAGTTACAGATCTGATATTATAAATAGGATTCCGTATCAGTTAATTATTGCTGAATAACAAACAGTCCCACAACTTAGTGGCTTAAAGCAACAAGGACTGATCATTTCTCAGGATTCTGTGGGTTGGCTGGGTGGTTTCCTTGCTGGTTATGCCTGGGCTCCCTAATATGGCTGTATTCGACTAGAGGATCATCTGGACTGGAAAGTCCAAGATGGTCTTACTCATGTCTGACAATCCATGCTGGGTTTCAGATGGGGCACCTTGTTTCTCCTTCTCTTGATGTCTCATCCTCCAGTAGACTAGATCAGCTTCCTTACATGAGGATTTTAGGGCAGCATTCCAAAAGGGAGAAGGGAGAAGCTGCGAGGACTTTTGAGGCCGAGCCTCATGAACCTGCACACTTCACTTCTGTTACATTCCATTTGTCAAAGCAAGTCACAGCCCAGCACAGATTTAAGAAGTGGTGAAACAGACTCAGCCTCCTTATGGGAACAGCTGCAAAGAATTTCTGACCATGTTAATTTGCTATTGGATCCTGATCACCTTTAGGGTAAATTTCTTTTTTTTTTTTTTTTTTTTTTTTTTTTTT